AAGCTATCGTGCTTGGTGATGTACAGAATCAGCTCAAGAAGAAGGAGACCTTCGGTGACATGGATTGACATAGTGATCACAGCAGCTGGCTCAGAGATAGCAGGGACCGCGGGGATGGTGCAGGAAGAGCAACATTTCATTCTGTTAGACACCAACTTGCTCTGAGTCAGAATGACTCGATGGCATGTAACAAGCACACGCACCCCCTGACACACATTATTGTGATTTGGGGGAACTTTCTGAGTGTTAGCTGCAAGCATGCTGATCTTCCATTGTCCAAAACTGGATTGGACATCTCCTAAGAGCAAACACATTCTTTTACACAGCTGCAGCCTAATGATCAAACTCAGGAAATTCAACAACGATATGATCTAGTTATCTAACACATAGTCCCTATCCACATTTTATCACTTGACTGGGTGATTAAAAAACAACGGGGTGATTAGAAAACAACAACAACAACTTTTTAGAAATTGATTTCAATTTATATAAAATTGCAGGAATAGAGTTCAGAGTACCTGGATTCTGCTCACCTGGATTCCACAGTGGTTCACCGTTCTGTACCATTTGAGAGTAAGTTGCAGACACAATCCTAGTTACCTCTCAATACTTCAGGCAGTGCTTTCTAAGCCCAAGAGGACCACTCTACAAAACTACCGAATACTGTCAAAGTCAGGGGAGTACCTTTTGTTCAGGGTGACCATCGATGCCCAGCCCCTGATCACATTTCATCAATAGCCTCAACAATGTTCTCCATATAGTCCCAATGTTATTTAGTATGTGCATTACCTCAGGGAATGAATTCAGAGCCGCACATTGCATTTATTTATTCTGTTACAAAACAAACAAGCAACCTTTGTTATTGTGATTGGAAGGAAGGTTTACAGAGCGACGTGGGTTTCCATTCAACAGTTCATGCACATTCGGTTTCATGACAGTGGCTGCAGCCCCCTCAATGCACAGCACACTTCCCACTTCCGCCCTGGGCTTCCATTTCCAATCACCCTTCTTGTCTCTTCCTTCCGGTCTTCCGAGTTTTATACCTGGGAAGACGGTGCCCCTTTGACCTGGTGTGCTTGCTTGTTTCAAGGAGTGTGGACCTCCCTGGTGTGAGTGTTCACCTGATAGTCCTGTGTGTATATTGTTTGGCTGAAAATGGAGCCACAGGGGTGAGATGGTTTCCAGGCTTGAAGGGTGACTGAGCACTGTCGTCTCAGGGACAAACACGGGACACGTCTCTAACTGGGTGCCATCCTTTTGCAGGAGCCGTGCTAGTCTCCTCTATATTGGCCCAGTTTTAAAGTCTGTGCGGTCTAAGTGAGGCTCATCCGTTGTGGGCATTCGGTGGTTAGAGCTCTAGGGTCTTCCTGTCTGGGACACTTCCTCTGGCTTTTCTTATCCCTTGGGGCCTGATGCTTTTGAAGAGGGCCTGCCAGATATTTTGGAGCACCCTCCCAGCTTTGGAGTTGTCTGATGTTGCTTCATGATGTTTGCGTTTTGGCAGAAATATGCACGCGATGGTTGGGGCTCCCCCGCAGGCAGGACTGGGGGGCTTTCTTGACTGCTGAGAGGGAGCCACGAGAACGGAAACAATGAGCATGTTGACATAATGCGAAGCATGTAACCAACACCGCTGAACAAGGTGTGCAGACATTGAGGCATGGAAGCTGTTTTGCTGTGTAATCTTCCAATGCAAAGACAATAAAATATTGTTTAAGAAAAGTAATCACTTCGCAGGCTCCAATTGTGCTGAGGTTGAGAAGCCCTGGTCTGTGCTTTAGTAACACCTCTAGAGCTGCCGTGCCTCCAGCAAGGTGCATAGTGTGACAGTTATCCAAGAGATTCAGGTTTAGTCAACTACAGGGACATGGGGGCTAGGAGGACAGTGGACAGAGAGAAGGCTCTCAAGGATGGAGGCATGAAACTTGAACTTAGACAAAGAAAATCTATAGAAAAAGCCAACACGATTAATTATCTAAATACAATTACGGTTAGCCATAATCTAAATACAGTTATGGTTCTATGATGTGGTCCTACTCAATACTTGCCCTCATGTAG